ATGTCAAATCGCTGTCTGGAGCGAGTTTCCAGTCGTACTTGAGCAAAAGATGAGACAACACAACTTTGCTAAGAATGGCAGCAAAGAATCTCCCTGGACACGCCTGGGCTCCATGTCCAAAGGCCAAGTGCTCTGGACTTGTCTGAACTAGAGGTGCCTTTAGTGCTTGATCCGGCTGGCAGCGCATGCGATAGAAACGGTACACGTCGTAGGTGTCTGGGGATTCGTAGATATCAGGGTCGCGCATATGGGGAATATCTACAAAGACACGATCGCCTTTGTGAATGTGCATGCCGTTGGGTAGTCGCATATCCTGCAAGGCGGCGCGATGCATGCCAACTATTTGATGGGTTAGTTATGCTAGCAATAAAATGATAAGTATACCTGTTAACATACAAACACCGGGGGGCTTCAAGCGTAGTGATTCTTTGATGGCACTATCCAGTAACTTGAGATTGTGCAAGGCTGCGGTCTGACACCCGTTGCTTCGAAGCTCAGCCACCAATTCTTGCCGAAGGGGCTCCAAAGTGGACAAGTCGCTGGCCAGGAACGAGATAGTATTGGTGAGCAGCGCCGCCGTGGTATGAACAGCGGCAACATTGAGTACCATTTGCAGAGCAACAGGATCACAGGTCAATTCTTCGTTCTCGGAGTCAATCCAGTCCACAATATCGTCGAACGCGAGAACCCTCTCTCCAGACTCGCGGGCCTTTTCGCGGGCCTGGCGGCGCACATTAATCAACGGCTCGATAAACCGACGCGCAGCTTGGTAGTCGTCGCGAGCTCGTCTGACAATAGGAGAGAATCGGCGGATAAGCGGTCGAGCAAAGCTAGGCGCCATATTGATCATGAAGGCGGCGATGACGCTGTTGACTGACCATTCTTTCATAATCTGAAGCCATCGTTCATCCCGACATACTTCGTCACCATCCCAAAAAAGACGAGAAACCATGCGTGCAATTACGTCGAGAAGATGCTGATGTATAGTCACTTCTTGCCAGTCTGCGGACTATTAGTTGGGGGGCTCCGGCTTTGTATGGCCGCATTGTAATGCACGTACTGACACTACCGCCAAAATTGTATTCAATGGCGAAGCTAGCTTCGGATGACATCTTGATTGGGATCGTGTCTTTGGCGGCTGGTCAGTCGGAGAGTTCCTGAGGGAGTGTGCTGGAAATCTCTTACTCAATGATCTTGTTAATCGCTTGGTGACCAACTTCGGAACTCTTTTGCAGGGGTCCGCAATGAGAGTATACGGCTCCAAACCAGGAGTTTTGCCATCGCCATCGAATTCCTACATCTTGTCAGCCAATATTCATTGGCGGCATGCGGCGAAAAAAACGTACGTCGGCGAAATACTTTGCAAAACTCAATCTATCTTCAGCGTTGAGGACTTCAGCGTAGGACGGCGGCAGGACAATAATCTCACGCGAGTTTGTGAGGAGCCGGAATGGTTTTCCCTTAGCCTTTTCCCTAGCCTTGTCCAGTTCGTTGATGCCGTTGAACAAGAACTGGATCTGCCTGACGATTTTCAACTCGTACCACTTTGGCGGATTCGCAAGGGTGAAGTCGGCATTTTGTTGCGCGCGCCTCGACATGCGGAAGTAGAGAGCGACGAGTGCTAACAGGACATAAGCCCACAGCCGAGCACAGTGAAGATGATAGGACGATGGTTCAGATACAGGGTCAATCGACCCCAGGAGGGATTGAAAGGCCATTGTAGGGACGCGAGCAGGGCCTGCGTGGCGGTCAGTGTCCCATGGTGCCAAAGTGCAGAAGCGCAGAGTTGCAGAAGGTGGGTTTTTGAAGACACGAGAGTGTGAGCGGAAGCGCCGAGATGCTCAAGGCGACGAAGGCTCAAAGGGCGATGGCATCTTGGCAGGCAAACTAGGCCGGCTGTTCCAAGTGCTGGTCGGCGCATGTGTGCTTGAAGGATGGGCAGGCAGGGTCTTGAAAAAGCCACCCACATGCTTTCAAACTTGGGACTGGACGGACTGGACTCGACATAGTTTGAAAGCCGTCTTTTCCCAGCTGCCCACGGCCGCAACTCCCCATCCCCTCCACCAGACCCGTTCACGCTTGCGCAGTCTGGTAGCACATACATATGTATATATGTACTCCGTAACTACCAGTTGAACGATTGACCATTGTAGCTATTCCACAGGCGCCGGCCCGGGAACATGGTAAATACGCCGAGAGGCCTTATGCGCTGCGGTGTGACGTCAACCATGGTGGGAGTCGATGCGGTGTGACACGATGCAACGTGATGCAAGGCCATGCCATGCCATGCCATGCTAGTGGCTGATGGACTTTCATGTCATCTGGTGCCTGGCCAAATGCAATCTCGCGTGGCAGAGTCTCAGAGAATGAAACATTGAGCATGGGGACGCGGCTCATAGTCCAGAACCCAAGATCCAAGACCATGGGTCGAGCCAGAGAGGTCACTCCGCTCACCTTTGTCCGCAAACCCGAGGCATCCTGTGGTGGCAATGGAAACATTGAATATCCGCAGGAAGTACTCCGTACCAGACCATTGAGTCGACTTAAACGAATACTAGCGAGTCCGCTGCAGAATCCCCGGCCACAGAGTGGCTGCCCCGTACCTGGTACATCACCACTCTCAGCTCCCAGCACTCTGTGGGTTGGTGGAACCAGTCTGTGGGACGGCGAGCGGGGACCAGTCATTTGCACTTGCCTCGCTTTTTCGCCTGTTCTGGCTCGTCTGTCGCACAGACTAAAACGTCAACTGGTCAACGTTCTGACCTCGAATGACGCGCCGTCGAGTTGGGCGCACTATGCCCGTTGTGTGAAAGCCTCTCTGTCTCCTGGGGTGGCTAGGCAGGCGACGTATGTACTTCATCGGCAGTGTCGAATCCGGCATCCATCATCAACGATGCGCTGGGACCATGCAAATGCCGACGACATTTACGATTTAGGAACTGGCCGAGACATGTTCGCATGGTGCACACAGCCAACACTCGGCCGAGTCACCAGGAACACGGCCGAGCCTGCAGCCGTGCGTTGGTCGCGTCGCCAGCCACTGCAAGCCAGAGACGGCAACGTGACAAACATGGCTCGTTGCTACGTCCAACAATGTTGGTTTCACAAAACGCCTCCAACCTGTGCGGCCCTACACGCCGTGCATGGTCCTCCCAACGAGTCACGACAAACCTAGTCCGTCAAACGGACATGCTTTCGGCTAATCCCCCGTTGGGTCGTTCGCTGACTGGCTTGCTTGAAAGCCGAATATCAGGCCGTCAAAGTCACACAAATGCTGTGAGACGCAAACTGCATCTCCGGTGCACAATGGGCCTCACCTGTCTCCCCACGACATGTACTGAAAATTTGTCATCGATTCCTTTGGTTTTGGTACTATCGAACGATGCAACTCGGCGTTCGCACTACCACGACATAGCGCGACAACCGAAAAATAAGCAGTCTATCGTCTGTGAAGGCATGTATTTGTCTCTCCCTAGCCGTTGATCCGGGTATGACAGTATATAAAATATAGTATGTGAAAGGCTGCCGCTACTTCAGTAGGTCACATACCTACCTCTTTGCCCCCTGACCTTACAACAGTGCCCAGCCACGCTACTTGGCACGGAAGCAATTGACCGGCTCTACTCTGTCCCATGCAAAGCCTCGTTCAACCCCGAGAAAAGGGCCGCTATCAGTCCCCAATCACATTGTATGAAGGCAATATGATCGACTATCTTTTTATCAAAAACTTGTTAGAGTGGCAACCAAACTCGGTGACGCATGTGGAATCCAGAGTAGAACGCTTTAGCACCCGTAAATCTTCTTATTCTGTTAGACATGCGCCCTATTAAACTAAGCCTTGATCTGGCCTAAACGAGAATTTTGCTCCCTCCGCGGAGGATTTGTCGGTTGCTTTAGCACGGCTAGATAGGTGACCATATGCTGACCAGACGTTAGATATGGCAATGGATTATTCTCACGTGGTGCAATGCGCGCTACACTCTTTTCTTCCGCGCTCGGTATTCCACCGTCCATGAGCCATTGAGATGGAATAATGCCCATCTTTTTGTACAGTTTGCGCGCTACGATAGACTCTGCGATAGCTGAAAACCTGGCGGTTCCCAGCGGCATGGTAGTTGAAGTCGCTGTCCTCGCTGAACTGACACCAGGGTTCATTTTGCTGGAGCTTTGCTTTTAGGAGCGGCGATGCCCAGTGCACGAGAAACATACCGCCGAATTGAACTCGTATGGCTTCTATCATGTGGGCTATTCATCTCAGGGGAGGGCATTTGAAGCAAAATAGGGCATGAAAAGTTCTCCTCGATTATGGTTGATGCGGCACAAGGAGATGTGTACGATGAGAAGTTGGTGTAAACGAAACATGTTCAGATACGCCCCAGTCATAAAACAGCTACAGGAGGCTGTACACATATATACGCGCAGTATTCGTGTGAATATAAAAATACATGTAGATGGATAGTCGCCATACTTGCATATATTCTCCTCATTGTCGTTTTTGCTTCCATTCTTCTCCAAAACCGTCTCATAACTGCATGTCTAAGAACAGCAAGTCAACAAGAAAACAAGAGCATATAGCCTCCAAGCTATAGTGCCTGAAAACTTAGGACTGTGCTTCGCAGCAAGGACATCAAATTGACGACCAGCCCGATGATATTTGATACATGGTTGGTGTCCCGTACATCAGACATTGCCCCCAGCCCAAGTACAGAATGCATACGTATACGCGTACAGGAGCACATGTGAAGAATATTAGAAAAATTCCAATTGAGCCAGAGGGCAAAAATTGTAGACGCCTACGAGATTATTACCGTAGCTGTCAAAATATCACATATTTCTTCCAACAAGGAAAGCCATGGAAGTGCGCCAAAACCCAAGAATACTCCAGAATGCAAATCCCAAATCCCAAATCCCAAATCCCAAATCGTGTACAGCATAAAAATACAGTTTTTCCCACATCCCTCTCCCAGCTCAGGCCAAAGTCTACCCAGCACACAGATTTCCTATGGATCCACCTCACTCCCATTGTGCATATTCACACGGCTGGTCCAAACCGCGACGGAGCAAAACCGGGTGGGCTCTGAGACAGCCGAGATCCTGTAGATGTTTTGGCGTCGATCCCTCTCTTGCTCGGGCGTCGAGTCGCGCGCCACGCACTGGGCGCATTCGAAAAGGAGGCCGGCCAGGTTGTAGGTCTTGTCCGGGCACGGGACGACCTGCGAGAGGACAGTCTTGCTGCCCTGGCCGAGGGTGGTTGTGGCGAAGTGGTTCACGTTGATCCACTTGAAGCAGGACTGGCACAGCGCGGCGTCGGGTCGCGGGCCGCCGCTGGCGTTGAGGGGGTATACGCGCTTCATCATGGAGAAGGCGAGCTTGTTGTCCTTGTGCATGAAGCGGGCCTCGCGGCTGGCCTTCATGCAGGGGACCCGGATGTTGCGGTCCTGGACAAAGTGCAGGAGGCGGCGGCAGCTGAGGCCGAGGCACAGGCGGTCGACGTCGTTGTCCATCTCCTCGATGATGTGAAGGGTGATTTCTGGCGGCATGCGAAGCAAGGTCCCTTTGATGAGAGGGTCCTTGTTGGCAATCTTGTCGGAGACGACGAAGTGGGTGGTGTCGAAGCTGGTCTGATCCTTGACGCAGCAGAACTTGGTGAGGCAGAGCTTGGCGAGGTAGAGCTCGGTGATGATGCGCTTGTTGAGGCTGTCTGTTGTAGACTTGATGGCCAAGTCGGCCTCATTCTTGGAGAGACAGGCTTCTTCCACCTTGTCGAGACAGGCTTCCATCTTGGTGCTGTCTGCTTCAGACTTGATGACGGACATTGTTGTGGTGATGAGTTGAAATTGTCTTCAAAGTAATCAGATTCTGAAGAGAAGTTGTTGCAAGATTGCCAGAATTTGGAGGAGATTGCAAAGGATGCTGATGATGGTAAAGGGGGAGACGAATCTGGTAACACAAATGGGTTGGGTGATGTCGTGTCTTTAATACAAGAATCGAAAAACTCTACTGCATGAAGATGCAGGTTCGAATAGGCCACGATGAAGCTATAGACTTTAGTAGTAAATAGCATTGTAAAGGTTATTGTCGATTAGAGTTGCCGCGTGCATACATTATTCAGCGCCAAAAGGTAGACGGACACTTGTCCATTTAGGAACCACGGGTACGCCTATCCAGTCATCTTGGTTGGCTTTGTGTACATTAAAGTTTACATTATGAGCACTCTGCAGTAGATAGACCAGAGGGAGCGAATACGTCTTGCGGCCGTATACCTCTACCAGGGCGGTTGTATATGCTACGAGCTTCGCAGTCTATCCAAGTGAGTTTCACCAATACCCTCCGAGAATGAACTAAACATGTTTCTTTTGCACTACTGCGCTGAGAACAGGCAGGACTCGAACCCAGCAGTGGTGTGGAAAGGCCCATATCGCAACCATGGCCCTTTGGTCGTATTCTGCTCCTTGAAAAAACCACATCTACAGTCTCATCAACGATACGCGCAGAACTAGCACCGGGTACTGCTTCGGGGGTGTTGTTGGAGACGCAGTGGAATACAAATCTCACTCTCACTAACTATAATAGAGACATCTGCTACTCACAACAATCACAGAGGGCATCCGAGTAAATGCCAATTCCTCAAATTTTCACTTCACATAGGTCAAGCCTCCTCTTGCAAACCTCAGAACTATATTCGACGCTAAGCGCAATGGTCCTCATTCTTGGAGCAGCCGCTGCCCTAGTCCATCTCTTGAAACCTACGAGAGCTTCACCAGCCCAGCCACCATAGGCGTCGACTCGGATCTCCACGCCACGGCCTCTTCCAACACTTGCATGTACACGAAGTGCCTCAGATTGGTGGTATCATTGATGCTGCAGATAGGTGGGTGACTTATACACGGCCTGAGCCCAACGCATGGTGTCTCACGGAAGGCAGTATTCCTGCTCACGACATTGGGGCCAGTACCCATCATGCCTCCTCACATTGACGCAAGGCCAAATATTTTACAGATCCAATCACTAAATTACCGTGAATAAGATTTCAGTCGTCACAGGTGCTCTGAAACTCTCAGCTGATTGCTAATTAGGCTTTATCATTACAAGCTCTGTCAATATAGGCTCATCCAGAAGACTGTGTAGTCCGTCGATCAGCCACCTTGCAAGTATAAATCCTAGGAAAGTAAAAGCAAGTAAAGTATCATTCATATTAGACGTCCCTTGGCAGGCATCATTAACCTTCTCTTACTGTAGGCGCGCGAGAAGCATTGCCTTCGACCGACTTGCTCCTCAAAAGCCAGATTGGTCGAAGATGTTGAATGAGTTTGGCTTGCACAGTGGCTACGATTACGCGTCCACCACGATGCACCGCCCGATGTGCATTGACCGAAAGAAGCCTCTTGAGCTGGAGCTTTTGCGATCATGTTGAAGCAATTAAGCAGGCTGCTTCAGCATGCGAGCTGGTCTCGGGTGGCGCACTCTCCGGCCACGCGGCAATCCTCCCGTGCCAAATGCGTAGATGAGGGATGAGATCGCGTCGTCGTGCTTTCTTATTCGGAACGAGGCGGGTTTGTCAATCCCCCCGGAGGAGGAAAGTTGCTCCATTTGTAGGTTTGGGATCAATGGGTTCTGTGGAGGCAGTGCAGTCGAGATGGATTTGCGAGGCGGCACACGGGGAGTAAGTTGACATTTAGGCCGCAGACTGAAGTGGCGGCGGGTCAGCTTCGATGTTCTTCCATGCCTCGTACGGAGGATCAAATGTACTTATGTATCTCTGACAGCTGCGGCAACCATGCCCTTTTCAGTGTCGCATCACACGTCGATTGGATGACGCTGGTCTTGGCAAGCTAACAGCAACGTGCTTTCCCAGTCTGAGCTCTTCATTCCAAATCATCAAATGACTTCCGGATACCTTTTCGGACGCAGTGTGGTGTGGCTGAGCCGCTGATGACAACCTTCCCAGACTGCAGTCTGTTATTTGCGGGTTGCTGTGTGAATGGAATGGTTTTTTAAAGAGAGCCTTTAGAAAACGCAATATAGGATGTATACCTTCCGGATGGATTATGCGCTGCCGCGTATTTTGTTTCCTGCTCAGTGCTCACACGCCAAGTTCAGACCACGATGCCAACCATCACCGTCACCAAAAAGGCTGCTTCGGAATTCCGCCCGCGCAGATCGCATGAAAAATCAAGAAACGGGTGCGTCAGATGCAAGCAGCAAAGAAAAAAGGTAGCACACAATCCAACGGGGACATAAACGCAGCATTGTTGCTAAACCACGTCCTGCAGTGCGATGAAGCCAAGCCCATTTGCTCCCGCTGCAACAAGCGCAACCACTGGTGTCGCTATCACGACGACGCGAAACGAGACTCCGGGGGCGCATCCGCACAAGAAGCCGTCGAAGAAGAAACTGTCACGTCGCAGTCGATGATGCTGGAAATCCCCGACCTTGGTCCCAGTGGTTCCTCGATGTGGCCGGACAATGTCTACGCCACCGACTCGACCACGAGCTCATTGTCCCCGTATACCTTGGCCTACATGTTTGAAGAAGGCGACGAGGCTCGCGTGCCCGGTGTCTTGAGCTCGCAGGAGCTCGAGCTACTAAGCCACTACATCACGCACACGAGTGGCATCATCCCCTTTGACCAAGGGGACTTGCATGCGCTCCACGTGGGAATTCCCAATCTTGCGCTTGGCAACGAACCCCTCATGGCATCGGTACTAGCTCTCTCGGCGGCTTGTAAGAGTCACGATATTGTGAAGCATTCGCTTGAGCCGTTGGAGAGGCTAGATGAGGTGCGAGGACTGCTTTCCCTTGCAGACATGCACCACAGGACGTCGCTGCACCATATCCAGGCCGCTGTACGTGACGTGCAACAACATGACTACATCTGGGCTAATTCCGCGCTCATGGTGTTGTATGGCTCGTCAAGCCATTGCCTTCGTGTGTCTCTGGCGCAAATGGCGAACAGGCGTGGTATTACGCTGCAGCATGAGTTGTTGCCCACGCAGTCGCAGTGGATGATGTTGATTCGAGCAGCGCATGCGGCCTTTACAGGCTTGTTGAACGTGCAGAATGAGAATACAAATACCGTGTTTGGCAGTCGATATCTCTCAGTCGACGAGACTTCTGCCGTTCCAACACCAGGATTGTCATTTGACAATGTACATCTCGCCGAAGATGGACCTTCTGAAGGCACCAAGCTGTTTCTGCTCCCGGCTGTTTGGGCAACATACAGGCCGGCGCTCAATCAGCTCGCTGTAAAGGTGCAATCATTGCAGACACGGTGTCCTCGTGATTGTGCGCGCAACCTTGGAGCGTGTCTTGCATCACATGCAATTCTGGAGCATGTCTTCAGCGCAGTCTTCATAGACAAGGAGACCCTTGCGCCTCACCAGTCCGAGGTCATATCGCCATGGCTAACAAGCTACCTCGGACGCGTAACGTCGTCTACGCCGTCCAAGCCGCTGCGAAGCACCGTCATGGCATTTTTGAACCGCGTGCCGGTCGAGTATCTGCACCTGGTCCAGTCGACGCTTGACGGCATCCCGATACCCGGCCATCCGAATCACGTCCATTGGGACGACTCAGCACCAATGACAATGACCTCTGCGCATCGAATAGCAGTGGACATTTTTGCGCACTGGCTCGTCCTCGTCATGCTCCTCGACGGCGTATGGTGGATCGGCGGCATCGGAGAATGGGAGTTGGGACGGATACTCGCCTCGGCCCAGGGACGAGCGGAGCCAGGAGGGAGATGGTGGCCGGAGAGCATGTATAACGTCAAAAGGAAGCTGGCAGAGCATTGTAGTAACTAGAAGCCGAGCGACTCTGTCTCGGCATGTCTCCAGTTTGACTCATCGCAACGTAGCATCAAGCGCAAATTACGACGAACTATAAATGCTTATGCCATCGTCCAGGACAAGCGGCTCCCCCTCTTGTAATAACCAGTGACAATAAGACGAATAATCCTTGGCATAAACGCCGCGGAAACCGCGCCATACTTGTCTCCCGCTGGCAGCTTAGGCAAGCCTCGCGGATTCCGGACCCTCAAGAGCGGAATCCTTGATGAGGCCACTCGCGTCAGCGCTCTCACCGCAATATTGAAAAATGAGTTCCACCCTGACTTACTCGTGCCCTCCCAAATTGCCAAAAACAATCTCGCAATAAACCGAGTCCAAATATTGAAAAGTATAATCAAACAGCAAAAATATGAGTCAAACACGGGCCAGGTCCTTGTAAACACGAGCTGCTCCATTATCCACTTCAGCCCTCCCAGATGGATGATCGACTAAAAAGAGTCACACACAGGATAAATAATACTGCAGTAGTATTCCCTGTCCAAGTACGGAGTAATAAGTGTTCCCACAACGGCATCCCAAGTGCCGGACGATAGTACTACGTCAAACTGGTAATCCTTCCCAACCCACCGTGGCTATTATGAACAAGGGTGGTCGGCGGCAGCAAGCCCCCAAAGAAGCCAACGCCCGCGCAGATCTGGAGTCCCAAGTATCGCCAACCCACGGCCGGTGGAGGTTGTCAACTGACACATGCCAATCTACGGGTTTCTCCGTAGGCTACCGCCGTCACAAGGCTTAAACATCGCCAAAAAAGTGGATGGCGGGCCCTCATGTTGTACAGCAAAAGCTGACTGTCCAAGATCCCCTCATTGGTTACATGACACCGCCGAGTGCTTCCTCATGGCTGTGGACTTCTCTTGGAAGCGACTTGGCTGTCCAAGGATGCCGAGGGTACGTCCCTTCCAGCTTAGCTGTTGGGAGGGAAAAAGACAGCAAAAGCACATCTCACGGGGTTTCACGGACATTATGGTTTTCTTCCCATAAGATATCTGTCTCGCCTTCCTCCTCTCTGCCCTCCCGTTCACGATCAAGTCACGATCAAGTCACGATCAAGTAGAGAGCCATCTCTGTAGCAATCCGAACTAGTCTTGACAGTCAGTCCACCAAGAGAACATCATGATCAGCACCAAGAACCTCCTCGTCGGCGGCTTCGCAGCCTCCTGCTCGGCGATTAATCCTGCGGCAGTGTACGACGGAGGCTTCAGCAATGCCGCCTCCAAGGTTGAGCTGCGCATCGGCAATGGGGGTGCCGGACAAAGCGGTCTCATCAAGGGTATGCCATCCCTTCCTCCAGCTTCACAATGAGAAATGCACGCAGGCCCTTCTCTCCTTGACCGCATGAGCCTAACTCTCCCTCTCACCCCCCTACCAGCCTTGTCGGACGCCTTCATCAAAGACACCGTCGCCAACGGCTCCCCCCCGTTCAGAGTAGCCTGGTACACCAGCGACACCACCTACTCCATCAAGTACCTCTCCACGGGCGACGTCGACGTCGGCATCACCTACACGCCGTCCGCGGAAGACATCGCCATCCGCCAAGGCATCGCCCTGTCCCCCAGCTACTACGCCTTCCGGGACCACTTCCTCCTCGTCGGGCCCAGGTCCAACCCCGCCAACCTCCTCGCGTCCGACGACGTCCAGACCATGTTCTCCAAGATATTCGACGTGGCCGAGAACAACAAGACGGACCCGCCGGTGCGCTTCCTCAGCAGGTACGACAAGTCCGCCACAAACATCAAGGAGAATCTGCTGTGGGCCAGCATCGGGCAGGTGTGTTCCCTCCCCCCCCCCCCCTTC